CTGGACTAGAGCCATACCCTGAGACAAGGAGATCTCCTTTATTGCTACCCGCCTTCACCCCCCGCAAGGCTTCAGGCACCTTTTCCTGTCAGGTCTCCTTGCCCACAGCTGCCAACAGCAAATGGTCTGGGGCGGATTGGGGGAAAGGATAAGAAGAGGCTTGGCAGGTCGTTCTCGGTGTCCCCAGGGAGCAGCCAAAGATAAAGAAGAGGAAGCGAAGATTGCAGAGGTGGGGTGGCAGCATCGGAAGGGTGTGAAAGTGGCAAGGGGCCAGGCCTGTTCCATCCCGGGCAGAGGATGGGCAGTTTACCAAGCTCCCTATCTGTAAAAGCAGCCGATTCCTTTCTCAGAACTGTATCCTGAGGGGAAGTTCAACCTCCAGGGTTAGCCCCACAGCAGGAGCAACTGAATTTCTTCATTTCGAGTTGCAATCGACGCAGAAAGGCTTCCGCACGGCGAGTGGCACCTGACAGGCAGAACTCCAACAGGCAAAGCTTTTCCTGTTGTTGCGTCTCCAGCCAGGGAGTGCCCTGTTGGATTTCGGCTTGCCGGACTGCCGTTAAAGTCACCCAACCCAACGGACCTTCCAGTCTTGATCTGAGCCATCTCAGATCCGAGCCTTCGACTCAAATCCCACCAGCATTGCACTCCAGGTGTTTCAAGGAAGGCATGTTATTGCCACCGATGGTGTCAAGACTCAGATACTCACACTTCCTCCTCCTGGGAGCAGGACAGGGGTGCTGTTGTTACACATCTCTCTGTATAAATGGGACTTCCTGGATGATGGTGAAATGGGGAAAGTTTAAATACAACTTTTACTAGCAGGGGGGAAAAAACGTTTGAGCAGGAAAGAATCAGTGGGGCATCAGAGCTGGGGAAGCGAGATGGCAAACGGACAAATAACCCCCGGCTGGGTTGGGCCATACCAGCTGCCAGTTACAGGCCTCTCAGCACGTCCTGGCATCAGGTTACTATTTGCATAGAAACTACAGAAGCTGAAGAAAGAGGAGCTGCTGACGAGAGCCGGGCAGGTTGCCATGCCTGAGTCTTATTCCAACTCCAAGGGGGATGTGGGGGGGCTGGGGGTCAAGCACTTAGCCTTCCTGGCCTGGCCCCAAAGGAGGAGGGGACCCCCACCTGCTTAATCGTCCTGCAGCCAAGCAAATGTCAGCAGGTGATGTGAGGCTCCCAGTGCCACAAGGCTGCCCAGGTGAGAACAACTAGATCCTGCAGGTGGAAGGAAAAGACTTGGCATGTCATGAATAAGACAAAAATGGAAGGTTGGGCTGCCATTTCCCACCACCCCTTCCCCAGCCAGGCTCCGATGCCTGCATGGCAGACAGAAATCCAACAGGTGTGGATTATCCCTCCCCCCCCCGCCCGCCACTGCCCCAAATGCTGCAACTGGCTTTTCTTTCTGGCCTTCTATTTCCTTTTCTGACAAAGGTCTTCAGACGTCCTTTGCCACATTCCCCATCATCTGTCAACAGAAACCAACTGCTAGGAACCTCCTTACATGCCAGAGCTCATCCCCTAACCTAAGAGGACAGCAAGTGACATCACTTCATTGACTTCCTGGATTTCTGGCAGTAAAAATCAGTCAGATGGAATTTCCACATTCTGCGTGGTTTACTGCAAACTTCTGAAAGGAGAAGGGCTAGATTCATCTGTCCAGAAGATTAATCAGATCTGGCAGAAAATCCTAGATAGATTGTGTCATTGTCCTGCCCTTGACCTCCATCTCTTCATGCATATGTGTGTGCACGTATATATGAGTGTGTGTGTGTGCGCGCACGCGTGTGCGCCTGTGTATCTCAGCAGCCAACATGGATGTTTCTTTCTTTTGCAAAAAACATGCCAAGTCTGACAGTAGAAATACATCCACCCTGTCCCCCAGGATTCGCAGCCTCAGTTTCCCCTCCCCAGTTCTTGGAAACAGAGTGAACTCAAGCAGGTTCCACTAGAGCAGTGTTTCTCAACCTTAGCAACTTTAAGGGATGTGGACTTCAGCATGGCTGGCTGGGGAATTCTGGGAGTTGAAGTCCAGTCTTCTTAAAGTGGCCAAGGTTGAGAAACACTGAGTTAGAGAGCTGGTCTAGGACCAGGAGATGTAGGTGCTCAGCCATCTCCTTCTGCTAACCATGTTCCCTCAACCTCACTGACTCTATTTGGAGCGTAAAAAGGTGGAAGATGAAAGACATAAAGCCTTGAATTCCTTGGAGGAATAAAGTCATGATCATCAATACCTGGTGAGCATCAGTCTTGTACTGCAATCAGATAGAAGTGCAGACTAAATAATGCTAATACTAAAATACTACTAAATCATAATAATGGTACTAATAATTTCCAGGCAACAAGCTGGTTTGTTGCACCTTAAATACTAACAGACTCATTCTGAATTATATTGACTGTAGCTTCCTAGCTCTGCTTTGCACTTTCTTAAAAGAATAACTTTAAACATTTTATTTCTTCTTATTTAATTCTACAGTGTATATATAATATCATACGAATGCATAATACCATGTATATAGAAAGATTTTGGAATCAGGTATCATGCTGAGCCATGTTTGTTTTAGCCACAGTTTGTTGAACAACCATAGATTGTGCAGATCCATAAATCATGGGTCATAAACCATATCCTTGGGCTTGCACAATGTGCTGAGACCAAATGAAATAATCATATTAACTAGAGAGTTTGATAAGCATAAAAATAGGAACCTTCTTGGATAAATTTGCTGTCTAAGGCAGTGTTTCTCAATCTTGGCAACTTTAAGATACGTGGACTTCAGCTCCCAGAATTCCCCAGCCAGCATAGCATAGCATAGCATAGCTGGCTGGGGAATTCTGGGAGCTGAAGTCCACGTATCTTAAAGTTGCCAAGGTTGAGAAATACTGGTCCAAAGGTACAAGTTGCTTTACCAAAGACAGGGAATGTGTGAGCCACTCATCTGCCCAGCATCTCTAGGAAGAGTTGGGGAGGATGGAAGTTGTTGTCCAATATCCAGAGGTGCATACATTATCCCCCACACTGACATCAAGAATTAGCTCAACCGAATGCCACAGAAATAGGATGAGTATCCACGAATAGGGTCACATTGTAAATTGAAATTCAAGGGGCCCAAACAAATCTTAGAGTTCTTAGAGGATCTGTTAGGGCCAGGGGTAGCAAGGAATTAATTTCCACTGCCTGGAAATCCTGGGGGTCTTGTGGTGCTCAGCTAACTAGCAAAGCAAAAGGGACTTTTTACAAAAAGTTTCCCCCCTCCGGTTTCTTCCTTAATACCATTGTCAGGTGGTTGACGGTTGCCATGAATGACTTTCAGAGAAATTATGTCTGCCCCAAGGAGGAAAGGAATTTATGTTTTTATGGCTTGTAAAACAAACAAGTTGTCAAACAAGATCCCTTTAATGTTAAATTCCTGAAAGATTATTTTATATTCCTTATTGGTTTCACTTTCTCCACATTGTGCTGATAGAGGTGGGGAGGGTTCTATGGGCAACCTACCTGATGGATAAGATAGTGCTTCTTGTGATGTTGGTGGCAAAGGCTTGATAATGTTGATTATAAGAGATGTGGGGAGGGCAACCATACCTGGGCTGCAAAAGCTATGGAAATCTAACGCTTGGCCACTATTGTTTGGCAATATAGATCAGTGTTTCCCAACCTTGGCCACTTTAAGATGGGTGGACGTCAACTCCCAGAATTCCCCAGG